ATACTAAGTAGTTCCAGCGTTGACCGCTCGATAGCGCCGCTTACCCGCGCTAGAAAAAATCAGTCCGGGAACTTTCCGGACAAACTGTGTATATCTACCACGAACGTGAATTATTGCCTCTTAACACGAATCTAACGTCGAAATAAACGAAGATCTTTGATCCGAAAAATATTTTAGCGTCGATGTTCGTTCTTTCCGATATATGTTTTTTTCTTGTACATAAAGATTTGTTCGTGTGCGCATGTATTTTTTTTCACATAAAGCTCACGATCTTCTTGGATACTTTTCTCGCAACGAGTTTTTTAATTAACTGTAATTTAGCGAGGAATGTTTCCTCGGCTCATAGATTTTAATTTTGCTACACGTGCGTATAAAAGAATAATGGCGATTCCCTCTACGGCGTATCATTATTTATGTATACATCGGAGATATTTTAAAATACATCGCTCTCCCTTCACAGGTGGCGAGTAATTAATTAACTAACTAACCGTTTGCTAATTATGTGAATGAAATAGCTACTCATGTTGTATCACGCGAATAGTGTCTCAAACTTCATGATAAAATGTTCATGTCAATTTAATTTGCGTCATTATTATAATTATCAATCACTTAATTAATTAGTTTTTTTTTTGCAATAATTTGCTTGCGGTTTTTTTTAGCAGAGAATGTCAATTTAATTTTAGATAAACTGTATGTCATCGCTCTAATATAGTGAAAAAAATCACCATGTAAATATTATCGTACAATATATGTATTGCCTTACATAATTGCTATTAAAACTTATTTCTTCCAGAAAACTTCAAATATAAATATATTTACAATAGTCTATAGTTATAAGATATGCTCTCTTCACGTACAGGTAAAGCTATTATTTTTTATATGCAAAACTAAACTTTGCGAATAATTCATATAAAAAAACACACACTCGTAATGAGAGTTACTCTCCTGGAAAGGGAGTTTGCGATCATCAGTTTGATGTAATATGCAAACATGACGTCTGCCACGTCAAACCGCACATTTTCGACCGAAGGTTTGCGTGCACGCAGTCTACTCGATCGGAGTGTTAAAACCGAGCGTGATACCTTTCTTTTTAAGGGGTAATCAACGACGTTGCCGCACCTTAAGATGTACCACAGATCGCATGTCCATATTTGCGCGTGGATGTAGCAAATATAGTAACTTTACTTTTTGAGATACGCTTTCGAGAATGTTTCATCGTAAATTGGAGTGCAACATTATCACTTTAATCGCAAGACTATAGATAAAATTAACGAAAGATTTCTTAAGCGATAAACAGCAATGCATTCTTGAAAAGAAAAAGATATAACTAGAAGAAGAGAAAAGGGGACGATATAATTTATTTAATATAATTTATAAATTTTTTTATTCTGAAGCAATTTGTCTAGATAGTCCGTAGTGTATATATACTTATTTATATCTACATATTCCATTAACTTTGTCTATCGACAAGACGTCCTTCTGACGTGACGTATAATATCGTCGTTAGCTGAAACATATGACGGAGCGCCACATTAACTATGTTATGTGTTGAATTTTCTTTTTTTCTATGTACAGACGTTCCAAATAATATCCGATTGACATAAATATATGTTTCATATTTGTTATCCATGCTGCAACCATCAGCAGTAATTTATTAGTATCTTCCGATTTGCTGAAAAGTCCTTCTTGATTGCGGCGAGGCCAAGAAGGTGCGAAAGTAATCCACTTTATCCGTCACACCTCACAAGCTAAACCGGGCATTGATTTCACATTAGTGCGCGCGACCGACACATCGCGCCCATTTTGTCCTCTTCCTCCTCTTCGTCCTTCTCTTATCCGTTGATAGCAATGTGTGCATAGTACTTGTGTGTACGTACGGTGCTCACGTGCGCTTACCGCGACTCCATTCGTTTGAAGGGAGCGAAGCTTGACGCGGCCGGGTTGCAGCACGCAACGTCGAGGGCGGCGGCGACCGCAATATTAGATTAATGGCGGATGTACTTCACTTTCGGAGGGCGTCCATCTCTCTCTCCACCCGTCATGGAATCTTCACGGAAATTGAGCTTCTCGAGTGGCGTCGACTATAGCGGTAGACTTCGTGGATCGCGCCCGCCAATCTCGAATTCGATATCTTACTTCAGCATAAAGACTGAAACGCAAGGAGAGAACTTCTAGCGTTGCCGTTGAAACAGGTGATACAGCAAATCGATAGTGTGAGCCCTTGACATGAATCACAGTTGTACATTGTGATGTTAAAAGACTTGGTCACATCGTATTGCAGAGAAATAAACTAATCGATTTCTTCAAACACATCTTAAGACATGATGAAATATTTCTTATACTATAGACTGTATTGTAAAAAGAAAAACTCACTTAGCAAGAGAAATATAAAATTTATTTTCTAATTTGCAAAACAGCGTCACAAATAATATTAACTATTCGAAAAATTTCGAAATTTGTATAAATAAAATTTGAGTTCTTGCACATATATTGCATTTTCGCGTGATATGTAAATCCATGATAAGCACCCGAACCAGTTTCTATCTCCGATCGATGCGTGATAGTAACTGCGTACCGGGGATCAAGAGATCGGCGGGCCAGATCGAAGTGTGACGACGACAACGAAGTCACGGCAAAAAGCATAAACCAACGTGGAAAAAACGATGCGGAGAGTTATAGCCGGCGATGTAACGGGAGGAAGGAGCTCGACGTCTCTTTGCTTGAACAAGCGGCAGCGACAGCGATGGCCTCGAGGGCCGAACGTGGCAGAGAAGCGGAATGGGAGATTCCCGACTGCGATCGCGATAAGATGCAGCGGCGTTGTCGGTTGACAAAGGGTCGTAGGAACGCCTACTCAGATCGGACGCACAACCGCTTGCGGGGGCGTCCATATTAAAATCGGCCACCCGTCCCGCCCCCCCCTCCTATCATCCCTGTTTCCCTCCCATCATACCCCACCATCGACCGGTCCCGTGATCTTGTTTATTACCCGCGCGTACACGCCGGTTGCCAGAAAATGCATCGACCCCTTTCCAGCGTGTGTTGCAACTGTTTGCAGCTGGTTCAAGACTGGTTCATGACTCTGCTTAGATGCGTATTAAATTCTGTGGACTTGTGACATTTTCGTAAAATAGTTTCTACTAGTTTAATTATTACAAAAAAAGAAGTTATAAAATTGAGTAAAACAAATTTTAATTTATTATTTTCTAAGGAATTTTTATATGTATAATTAATCATGTGTAATGTTTTACTTAAATGTGCAATTGATATCTAAAATACTATAAAATATATAAACTTACTAGAAGATATAAAAATAATATATAAAACCAATAAATTGTTATAAAACTAATATACTTATTAGATACTTATTATAAGTAAATATGTGATTATATATGTATATATGCAATATAGATATAAGCTACTCAAAAATATAATAGTGCTGCACTCTAGAATGATTTCCTTCAACCTACTTCTCTGACGATAAGTCCAGACAGAACACTGAGAGCGGGCAAGGCCATATGAAATGCTGTAATAACTTTTCCGCCCTGTAAGCCAGCGCTATGTCTACGGATGGTGCACATTGGCAACTACGTAGCTATGTTCACGAGCGATTTGTCGGTTCGTACGCGATATCCAAACATGAACATGGTTCCTTTCCGTGCTATGTCCACAGCGTGCAATTCTATTCCGTGCTATGCGCACGAGTCCAAGTGGAATAAAAGCTAAGATGCCTGATACTATAATTGCGTCTTAGCCACTAAAACATTTTTAAACGCGAAAATCGCATTCGAATAGAATTGCACGCTGTGAACATAGCTCGGAATAGAACCATGTCTACATTTGGACTTATTATACGCACTAGTCGCTCGTGAACATGGCTACGTAGTTCTCAATGTGTGCTATGTCCATCTGTGAACATAGCGCTGACTTACACGGCTAGTTTCAAAACTAGCAATTAGAGGCGCTGTTTTGTTTGAGTAGGTTTTAATAATGGCAGTCATATTGTAATGCTCCAAGTGAGTCTTTCAAAGCTCACCCAACAACTGATAAAAAAGTGAATTAACAATTAAGCTGAAGTAAAATAAGTTTTGGCTCCAAGTGAGTCTTTCAAAGCTCACCCAACAACTGATAAAAAAGTGAATTAACAATTAAGCTGAAGTAAAATAAGTTTTGGCTTTTTATTAATTGGATTGTCAAGATGTTTCCACAAAGTTCACAAAGGAATTATTGGATGTTCAGCGATGAGAGTGATTTGACTGCTTTGAGAGAGAAAACTAATGCTGAATTTATTGAAAAACATGGAGCTAACATGACTGTGAGTCCAGTTTTATATCTATTTATTTATGATTATAATTTCTTATTTTGTTTACAAGTACTGCATTCAATGTTTATATTTTTTCTACTGTAATTTATAAAATAAAAAATATTATCATATACTATTTATATTTAAATAGCTAGAAGAAAAGGAGGAACATTTTCTTTCACATTTAGAGGAACGTACATTATTGCGTTTTTATGAATTACAACTAAGAGATTTCTGTCGACGATTTAATCCACCAATGCCACGTGTCACTGTAGCTACAGCCTTGCATTATTTTAAACGATTTTATCTTAGAAACAGTGTGATGGATTATCATCCAAAAGAAATTTTAGTTACTTGTGTTTACCTAGCATGTAAGGTAATTATTTTTTTTTCTAATTTTCTATTTTATACTCTTTATTTCTAATCTTGTTTGACTTCTTATATGAGTATCATATTTTAGGTGGAAGAATTTAATGTGTCTATATCTCAATTTGTGGCAAATATTAAGGGTGATAGAGAAAAAGCATCTGATATTATTCTTAATAATGAATTGCTTCTTATGCAACAATTGAACTACCATCTTACAATTCATAATCCTTTTAGACCTATGGAAGGTCTAATGATTGATATAAAGGTATGTGCGTAACTATGTTAAGATATGTAAGTTTATATCTCGTATATTGCACTGTAAAACAAAATTACTTTTTTTTGTAGACAAGATATACATGTCTGGAAAATCCTGAAAAACTAAGGCCACATATTGATGAGTTCTTAGAAAGAGTTTTCCTAACAGACAGTGTTCTACTTTATGCTCCAAGTCAAATTGCATTGGCCGCGATTTTGCATGCGGCATCCAGAACTTCCGCAAATTTAGACAATTATGTTACCGACATACTGTTTCCAAGAGAGGAATTGGGAGGAATCATAGAAGCTGTGCGAAGTAATTATTATATATTGCTCAAACTTGCACACAGTTTCTTTATGTGCTATAACTTGTTTATATTAATAAATTAAATCTTTCAGAAATACGCTCAATGGCTAAATGTGTAGAAACTCCTTCACGAGAGATAATAAAAGCTTTGGAGAAAAAATTAGAAAAATGCAGAAATCAGGAAAATAATCCAGATAGTGAAATGTAAGTACATTTATATATTTATTTATCTGTATCTTATTTTTCAAGGACATTATAACCGTAAACTATTTTAGATACAAACAAAGAATGCAGGAAATGTTAGATGAAGAGGAATTGCAGGACAATGAGAAATATGCGAAAATTATACAAGATCAAGCAGCTCATGATGATAAAGTTCTGGGAGTTAATAAAGTATTATCTCCTCTGTGATAATATAAAGTTTTGTATTTTTTATATCATAATAAAATTGTTCTATATACAATATGCGGTATACTCTTTCTGTATAACTCAAGTAATTTACAACTTTATTTCGGTTTTTAACGGTAATCAAGAGGCACGGTAGTGCCTCGCACCATTCGAGCGCGACTTTGTTGCGCATGTTTTAAAGCGTGACTTAAGCAAAGTTACGTGATGTTTTTCCAATCCTCCCTATCTCTATTTTTCGATTTTGATTTTCATGAGTTATTTTGAACACCTCTCACATGTGTATTGTATGGTTTGTGAGATATATTTTACAGTAGTGTATTTATTTATATTTATCATTACTGTCAAAATGTAAATATTTGTTCGTTTTTTTTGAAAAGAAATCTTACTTTACAAGTATCATTTTTATTTATAATATACTTTAATTCAAACAAATTAGTTAATTTTGCACGTGTATACGCTATATGTTCTCATTATAAAAATACACTATAAAAAAAATGTCAATCAATAATCATACAGATTTACTTATAATTTATGGATGTTATGTTTTTATTATATTCATGTAAATTTTTATAACTTTTGTCAATCCGAAACTAAGGATCATGGTGCCTGAAGTCTAATCTCTGAGTAAGATGGTGCGGGAGATGATTGGTCGATACACTTGGAAAAACAGATGTTTGTCTCACTGATAAATTACTAGGCAATGGTTGAACAATGGGTAATGCAGGAGGTAATGGCAACGGTGTTAAATGTTGTGGGAGCAATGGTACTCCTAGTTGTGGTTGTCCCGGATAGTTAAAAAACCTACAAAAAGATACATGTAGGTATATTAACGTGGTCGCAGAAGAAATCGCCGAATACAACCAATCTTAAATATTGTTAATTATCGGACCAGATATCTATAAAAAAAAATATATGTGCCAAGTTTAATTGATTTATAATAAAAAATTATCATTACTCTCTCTTAAACCTTAATACGTACCATAATCGATCACCAACAAAAATAGGTCGTGGTGCTGGAATTCCTAAACTTGAGTAATATTGTTGTGCTAATAATTCAACGTCATTAGTATATTTTCTTTTCCATTTAGTTCGTCTATTTTGAAACCATATTTTTATCTATAAAGAAATTAAAATATAAAATTACGCATGATATATAAAATATATAAATATCGGTAATGATTAACGGAAATAAAATTATTTTGTGCACAGTTTTTAAATGAATTAAAAATTTTCGACATTTGCTCTGAGTGGGAAGTAAAATATCTGCCCCGGGTGAGGATCGAACTCACGACCTTAAGATTATGAGACTTACGCGCTGCCTACTGCGCTACCGAGGCCCTTGCAAAAACTTCCTCTTTTGCTAATAATTGTGTATAAGCTCTGATATATAGTACATGTGAATATATTATGTAACAATATTGCTTGTATAATGAAACACCCAAAAATAAAACTTTTTTTGTATAATGTAAACCGTAATACAATAATGTGTATATCTAAAATAAAACTAAAGTAAAACAAATTCACGTCAATTAATTATTTTATTAATTACTTTATATCGCACTAAAACTATAAATTCTACATAAAAAATGATTTTAACATCGCTTCTTTTCATAATGATGATTTCATAAATAGTAATGTAATTATCCTGAACAAAGTGTCATTTTTATGTAGATCAATATTTTCCGCCTGAGTTCCACGAATCTGGTTCGTGTAGTAGCTGCTTCTTGCAAACGTACGTTTGACTATTCTAATTAAAAAATCGACGCCTCTTCGGTTCGTCGCCTTGACGGCACGCAGCAGCCGTCGCTCGGTACATTTCATTCTGCGGCGGATGCGAGTCTCGCGACGACGGAACGTATAAAATGGCCTGTGAGAAGGGGAGAGAAAAGAGACCCTCCCGAACTGGCTCGTTAACTCCGAAAAATATTGTGACAGTTATGTCTGCGACACGACGCGTCTCCTTCTTGCCTCTGATCCGTCGTCCGATCGTTCTCCTTTTCGACTACGATTGCCGAGATAATTAAACGGCTCGTTCGCGATATTTCGACCGGCGCTGGCAATTATTGTCGGCAAGCAACCGACCGGTGACGACGCGCAATCTTCGCGATGGCGAATATTTTGGGTGCGCGTCATAAATTAATTAGTTTAAAGCGCGGGTGGGTATCAAATCGCGCACATTACACATCGCGCAAGTATACTCTTGAGACTTATGCAACTCTCGCACTTTGCATACTCTGTAGAGGAATCGTCATGTTGGAAAATTATAGTACATATTCTCTCGCGAGAGACTCGCGGTTAATATTAGAAGATAATAATATCCGTTGAAAATTCGTTTCGCTAAAGTATGATCGAAGCAAGAATATAAAAGCTAAATATTTTAATACGCGTAAAAAAAAAGAAAAAGATTATTTTATAGAGAGTGAAAAACTTTGAAAATAATCTTTTGTACACATATTATACTTATACAAATCTGTCAAACTGTTTTACAATTTTTTTGTAAGCGTTATATATATATATATATATATATATGTATATATATTTGAATTATGAATGTATTAGAAAAAGATTTATGAAACAAAACTATCTTTAGGAGAAAGAGTTAACACTTGGCAAAAACTTTCTTTTCATAACGTGCGTGGGAAAAAAAGGGTGGGCAAGTGCTAATTGGTTTTAAAGGACGATCCTCCCCCATGGCGCCACGACTTAGCGCTTGGCACATATGGTATTCCATCAGCCCATAATTTACAGCTAGTTGATTGTAAGAAACAGAATACAAGGAACTTAAACTGCTTCAGGTGCTGAGAAGAAAGTCTACGGAAGACATTATCGCGATTTATTGAGTACAATATCCTGTTCCGGTCACGAAATCATCTAATTTAGATATCCTACTCTCTGTTTTAATTAAATTGTTAACGATCTACATAAAAATAGACTAGGGTGATTAAGAGCACAAATGTTATCAATACTTTTAAGAGAATCAGGAGCAACTGTTATTCATTTACTTTCTCAGATATATTTACTTGCGTTTCCGTGAGTTTCAAGTTTTTACTCAGTTGCAGTCGCTTTGCCACACTCAAATACTTGTTTCTCTCAAATTCCGCCTCTAAGGATTTAATTTGTGCGGCAGTGAACGCTGTGCGAGGCCTTTTCTTCCTATCGTCGTCGCTAATAGCTGCGGCGGTTTTCTCCTGACCATCTCTGTCTGTACTTGTGGTTGAATTCGCGCCGCTACTGCTGGTGCACGCTTCTGCAACAATATTCTGCATCTTATACTGATGTGCAACACGAACGAGCAATATATTTTTTTAATATATTTTTTATTCCAAAACTAATCAGCAACAGCATATGTATTCAGTTATAATAATAATCTGATGTTGCCCACACGAAGGAAGCATAAATCTTAAATCATCAAATATTCATGCATTACGTAAATGCCTTTTTGATGATCAAACATTTGTGTATCAGAAGTAAGTCATCAAACACGCAGTTTACGACTAAATAACTGCAAATTACGAAGCAAAAAAATATTACGAAAATAATAAATGCGAGCACAGAAATCGCATCATCATTCATTTAAAACTCATTGCGCTTGTTCGCGGGCGCTATATCGTTATCCTTTTAATCGCTTTTGAATGAGGTTACCGCGCGCAAGCTCGTGTCGTTCGAGTGCGAGAGGGCTCCAATTACCGCTCTTTCGTGGAATTCTCTTCCTCATCAATCTCGTGACTTTTTGTATGTTAGTTGTTTATATTTATATTTATCCCGGCTTACAAGACCGCGGTCGTACACGACCGTCGCGTGTGTCGTGAAGGATGTCTTCGGTCTCGCTTTTAGGCGCGTTTGGTAACAAGACTGCGCTCTTTTAAGAGCCGGAGGATCATCTTCTAATTATCTGCCCATTCGTCATCCGACGAAAAAGCGTGGCACCGCGACAAGCGTCCAAAATTTAACACTCGCGATTAACTCGGGAAACATTACACTGATTTGTGTTGAAATATTATTATATACGTAAAATGTTTTTTTTTCGTAAAACTTTTCAAGTTGTACGAAACTGATACTTTCTTCTGAATATATAGTAAATTGCTTTTCCAATTAATGGTATGATTCTTAAAAAATAAAATTTATTTCTCAAGATCTGTACGCGTTAAAATAAATCATTATGTGTGCTATTAAAAATCAAAGAAGTCATTAGCTAAACTACGTTTTATAAGTTTTATGTTGTTAGTGTACAATATTTACATTACAATACATCGTAATATATTATTATGTTACTTAAAAGTATAATATAGAAACAATAAATGAAAAGTTGTTGTTGAACTTACAAAAATGATAAGATCGGAGTAGCTTCTGCGCTGTGTTTACTTTTGCACTATTAATAAATATCTCGTAAAAACTATTTACGGTAACGTTATTCGAGACGCCATTTACTGGCTACTAATTGTAGACAGATGACGACGTAATTGTCGCAGTTTCCGCGCGTTTTTCGTAGCTCTCTACAGTCGTACAACGAAATTGTCGGCTAAAACTGTACTGCCTCTAATTCACTTTGCGTGAAGTGTGCTACTGACGTTCGCACTCGATGCAGTCCGCGCTTCGCGGTTTTCATAGAGAACAGCTTATAATCAGTAGCGATAAATAAGATAATATCAATATTTTATATCTGATATTTTTTGAATATTTAAATAGAGGATGAAAATAAGCTGATCGAAATCATATATGATACGGTCATTCACTTTGTCAAAATATAAGCATAAAATTGCCGTGAGATTAATAAAAACTGTCAAGATATAAATATCAAAGCTAAGTTCGGTATTAACTCCTTTTTCATGTGATGCACATGAAATCGTCACTGCTCGCAGCCGGAAATGTAAAAAGAAGGCAGAAAAGAGAGTCTGCAAAGGATGAGTCTCGCACGGCTCATTTGTCGTCGAGTTTTTGACTCGGTTGCATTGACGAATGAGCTCTGGAAAACAGCAGGAAAGGATTGCAGAGGAAGCGACCGCAAAAAGGAACCGACAACACGGAGGGCGAAGAAGAGCGGAGCTCGAAGAGCAGCAGCGCGTTGAACGTTGCGGAAATAGAACACCACGCCTTCTAGTTTACCTAATTGCTGTGAGCCACAGCGAACTTGTCTCCTAATTATTCAGTGACGAATGGCGCGAGAGCGCGCAGAAGTGCGCAACAAGCGCGGCCAAATCTCATTCGTCTGACGTTACTGGCAAATTCACGTTCCGCGATCAACTGTGAGGATAATTAATTCAAGCGCGAGTCACGACGATTGGCAAATCTGCCTCGGGGATAGTTTTACGAATGGATCTTTTGTTGGCAGTTAAGATCGCAATATTCAAATAGTGAAATTTTGTTAAATTATCAGTAACTACGAGATAAATTTTGGACAGAAAGAGATTATTCAATCTGTTACTTAAAGATTTGAGATATTCATCATTTTAATATTTTTATCTTAACGTTATTAATATATTTTAGGACGTAATGCATGCGTACGTGTTTCAGCCAAATAAAAATATACAAATCGTCAAACATGAATATAAAACTATCGTTCAAAATGTCGTCCAAAAATCATAATAGGCTCAAGATAAGAAGTAAAATTTCTTTCGCGCGCGAGTCGTCCTTATATACGCTGTTCTCTCACAAAGATTTACGTACTCGCGTTGACGGCTTTGTAGTTGGACGCGACGTCTCACATATCTCAGAGTCCCAACACACGACGCAAACGAGAATTGTCCTTTCCTTAGATCTCGAATTTATCGCGTCGGCCATTACGGTGTGTAAATCACGGCGAGGCTACGTGCCCTCGGATGGAAATTAGTCGTTGAGACCCTCGAGGGCGTGCGAGATGCCACAGAATTGAGTCGCTCGGTTCTTGTATTAATTATCCGTAAAGTCGTTCTCTATTACGTTAGATGTGTGTGTGTGTGTGTGTAACGAGAGCGAAATATATTAAAGTTCTACTTCTAGCAACTGTATTCTGATAACAACTATTCTTGGAGACACTTTTATTCAAAAGCTTTGCAATGTTTCTCGAGAAAATTTCAAGAATATTCTATAACTAGTAATGAATTAACAGCGTTTTTTATTTTAAAAGCGTCTTCCATTATATAATTGTAATATTTCTTATCAATAACTTTTTACATTTGTTTAGACATTTATCACACTTATAATATCCGAGAAGTAGATTTCTTTATTAAAGAATTTCAAAGGATTGAGTTTCGAAAGAATTTCAAAGACATGTCTTGCTATCGTCAGTTTTATTGCGAGAGAGCAGATTTTGCCATATTTTTGTGGCAGAATTAGCAAGAGACAGATAAATAGTGAACGAAGAGCAAGAACATTGAGTGGGCGTGGAGCCTGCAGGAAGTAATGGATCAAACTTACAAGCGACGGTCCTCACCCCTACGATCTTACGAATTCGTTAGTGCAAGAAGTCTTGTGTAGAGTTATAACAATCGGTTCGTTTCTGTACTCGTATAATAATATGCCACCTATCCGTCTTAACCGATGCAACATCAGTCCCGGATGGCAATAATTCTCGACGTCTTCAAAGGCTCAAAGTGATCCTTCGAGATCTTACGATGTACGCGCACTTGCGCTGTCTCTCATTAGTTAAAGAAGACTACGTTTAGTTTCTACGTTTCTATTGATAAGATTCTACATTGTGTGTGAAAGATTTAAAACTACTATTATTTCTTTTTGTGACAATGTAGGCTAAAATGATAAGCAATTGCTGCCACCTTATTAAAAATCTGCTCTTCAAATCTTTATTTTTCATGATTTGTTAAAACAAACATGTAACATTTTCTTTGAAATAATATTATTTACTAATGTTAGTGCATAATGTTAGTTAAATGTAAATAGATTACAAATTCTTGCAGATTTTACACTATTTTTAACATAATTGAAACTTCAAAATTGAGACTGTTTTTAAAATTAAATTTATATAATTCGCAAAAATGTTCATTTTAAATTAGACTGAATAATTTGCGTGGTTTATTACCTGTAAATAATATTTTACGGTTAAAACACAGGCAATTGCCATTAGTAATATAAATTGATTAATTATCTTTAATGAAATTCCGCGAACAGTAGATATTTTCACACAGTAATACAATAACGATATCATCGGTTTTTAATCATAATAACTTTAATGACTAATATATTGACGAATTTAAATACTCGCAAAATCTTTATTTTGCCTGGTTTTGCTCTCTATTAATATAGCGATTTAACAAAATAAATACAGGTGGTGGACACTTGTATAAATTGTGATTAGCGATCGTATGAGAAAATTTATTTTTGCACTAAGAAGTTATTGAATATTATTAAATCAATGCTCGTGAAGAAGGAAGTTTAAAATATCATTTATTTTTATAATAGTAGTCTTACAAGAGAGTGTTAAAAATTATGTAAACGTAAATAACGTGATATCGTAATTAGTAAAAATTAACTTAAGTTGAAACAAAAATGAAAACATTTTTTACACAAAGAGATATGTTACAAAATGTTTATGCCACTGCTGAAGATGCATAGCAGTTAATGATATTAATGAAGCTTACCGTAATACATCTCTGGCTCAGGAGATGTCGAGCATACCATGTCGGTATCGTCAAGCTCAATTTCCTCCGTCATTGACATGGATGAATCGGGTGCAACAAGCATTCTCGTTTCTGATTCATTATCTGGCAAATACGATTATTTTGTGTAGCCTTTATCATGACATTAAACGCTTGGCAATAAATCATAATAATTAGAATATATTTTTCTTATACTACTCACTTTCTTGGCAAAGTAATAAATCGGTTGTCTGTTGCGAACATTTTGTTTCTTCTTCTTTTTTGCTTGGTGCTAATAATCTATCGATACTAAAAGAACATCTCATCTTTTCTGCAGAGTTGTTCGCTTCCTTCGAATCGGATTTTTTAAATTCATCGGACATCTCTTAAATATGTTTCATCGAGATACAATATTCGGAATTATTGCCAATTGTCACGCACACAATAACATCTATAAACTTTCTTATATTTTAAAAAGAGTATTTTGAGTAAATTGAAGCTAGTTTTCTTCAACTGGTATCGGAAACAACATCGGAACTTCTTCAAAAGTTATATTTCTTAATTCTTTTTATTTATCTTCGATCTTTCACTCACTATTTGTGCAAACAATTTGACCGCACTACATTATATTTGACTGGCGCATAAAAACGAACAAGATAAAATTTCACTAAAACTTTATTACTTTATATTTAGAATTCTAGCACTTTACTATAGCGTTCTTTATAACAGTTTTACGGTGTTGCGATTATATTTGAATTAAGTCTAATTAAGAAAAAACCGTGTCTATTGTCGAGTGAACAAATCGCCAAAGCAAAGCTCGTTACATTGATACCCCCTGATCTGTTCGAGGGATTAGAGTTGAAACCAGCGACTGTTTTGTCGCGGTTACTCACGGTGTCCAACAATATTTTTTTAGCACTCAAGTCAAATTCTTCGTTCCTTGAGGCGGTATCCCAAAGCCACGTGCTCACAACGTCACCGCGAGACCAGCCAATCGGGCAAACTTTTGGGCGGATCTTGGCAAGCACGTGCGTTTCTGGTAGAAGCTTTTAATGATCTCGTAGTGTGAGACAGTAGCGACCACTAAACGGTGGTAATGAGGTAACTATAAATTTCTGTCACTGCCACGGAACGCTATTTAATAATCATGATGGCAAGCAGATGTGATGCGAAATTGATTTAGTTACATGTCTAGAGACTTAATAAACTTACCACGGAATCTCCATTTATCTAAACAAAAACTATTTACAGAATTTGAAGAAATAAGAAACAGAAAGAAAAAATATTATATTAGTATCTTATCGTTATAATCGTTATTATTGTAACGTAAAATTATATTTATTTGCAAGTATAAAGTTTTAACACTAATACAATCGACACACGCATTTATTTCGTAGAAAACGCTATTTCTGTAAACCATTTGCGGTGACAGCAGAATATATACTTCATATTTCACGCGCATAATGATAATCGTAATAATAATCGAGATCGTTTGAGAGCGAATTGTAGTTCATAATTGGTTTGTGTGTAATCGAGAGATTCTAGGTTCGAATTCGATTAAATATATTTGGATTTTTTCGCTCTCATTTCCGGAGAGCTTGGCGACTCACCGGAGTGCATCTCTAGCTAGATGAGATTCCTCTAAAATAGAGTGTTATGTGCACTTACAGTGATTCGAAATCCACCTAAAAGGTTTCTTTATTGCCCACTCAAATCCGCACGAGAATGTGAAAGAAAGAAAAGTCTACTCTGAATTACTTGTACACATCGATGATGATAAAATATATAACATGATAAACTGTGAGTTTTCTAATGCGTGCGTTATCTCAGAATAATTATATCAAAATAATTGTTTTTCCAGATTTGAGTTCTGGTCGAAATAAGTTTTTTGCGCGGTTTTCTCTGCCAAATAATATCAAGATCTGTGTTATATTTGATAGTGAAAGCATGTTCTCTGACCTGTGATCGCCGTCAGAGAATTTCAACTTTTAAGAATATTTTGAGAAGTTACCGCCATTGATGATTCCTAAATAACATTTGCATATAATTTGTTTCAAGTAATAAACTATGAGGAATAAGATTTGAAATAATATAACAACAAACTTGTGTGCCATAAATACACGCGTGGACGTTTATTTTTAATATACATCTATTTCTTTTTAGGCATAAAGTAGAATCAAATCCTATTGTTTGTATGTCTATCATCAAAGACAATAATATTCTTAAACATTATTGAGTTCACATAAAGACATTTACATAGGCAGATTGCAATATCCAATATTAAGAGACTATCTTGTTTTACAATACATTTATCTTATTAATACATGTTTTGGTGACTGTAGACACAGAAAAAATTAAATTTTTTTATGTTTATAGTGACAAATAAAAAGTATTATTATTATTTCGCGACAAATAAATATTCTCATAGTCATATGTATATTTACAAACACAGAAAAAAAAGTATATACAAAAAATATATATTATTGAACCAATATAACTATCGTTACAATTTTTAGGCAAAATTTTATCATTATAGTGATAAAAAAACGAGTCTAGTTCTATCAAATATAAGAAAAACTTTATCATTGAATTGAAGAATATAGAAAAACAAAATTTTTAAGTAAAATTGCTCAGTAGTACATATAATACAATAGTATACACATACATATATTATATATTAATATTACATATTAACAATTTTTGTTTTAAAGTTATAATTTTATTTTATATTAAACAACTTGTATATTTAAATTAAATTAAAAACAGATTTTATTTCTTAAAATTATATTAATAGTGAAACAATTATACAGCATTATTTAAAAATAATTTTCTAAATAAAAGTTTTAATGAAAAGTAACTAAAGTTGCACACGACAATTTTTATATTGGATTGCATACGAATATGGGAATTGGTCAATTGTTTGTTTTTGAACAAAAAATTGTCAAATCGTTATTTATATACAATCTAGCATAAAAAAAAAAAAACAAACAAAACATTGTGTGCCACAAACTTTATTAACAAGAGAATTGCATGTGTTAAGCTTCGATTTTATTCATGTTTGACAAGTAAATGGAGCATCAAAAAAAGTTGAACGTCGAAACACGGATCAAATTTTTTTTTATGTCATAATTAAACTTGCAAAAAATTTAAAAAAACGAAGCGTGACACTTTGTACAATTCCTTTGTAAAACATGATTTACTATTAATATAGGGAAAGAAGTTACATTACTCGAACTTAGAACATCTGCGATAACTTCACAATTCAAATTTTGAATTTTATGGAACTTTGTATATTTGGTCCATGTATCTCAACACTTTTACGAGTTTTTCTTTAAAATCTGTTCTAATTTGTTATAATACACTGGTGTGCATTGTATCTAAGATTATAATATGTATAGTTGCGGTATCGTAATATGTAAAATTACAAGTACCCAGCAAATATTATGTCGGCAGATTGAAAACAAATGCTGCCATTTTGACAATTATCTATTTTTGACCAATTTTTTGCTATTAAGATATGTGGTATAAATTATAAATATAATTTACAATTTCCACATTATTATAATCCATATTATTGTACTGATTATAAAATACCAAATAAATGACTTATTTTCGATACAAATTCTAATGACATATACTTGAATATTGTGATAGAACTCGTTCATTAAAATCTTAATGCTTGTGCAAAAAACATATTGCAGATAGTTATGTAACAAAGAACATATAACGAAGAGTAGTGTGATATATTAATTATATAATTATTATACTGAAAATGACCGAGTGTGAAAAGCTAAAGTGATTTTATTATTTAATTTTGATTTTGCTGCGTAGAGTTACCGTTCCAAGTATTATTTTCGTCATCATCATCACCACCTGAATGCAGTCTGTGTACATTTCCTTCTGTCCTAATCGTTGTTCCTCCTTGATTACCCAGGTTTCTTCTAAACAAACTACATCATGTAAAACAGAAAACTGTTTAGCATATTTTAGATGGTGAAAAAGAAAACGTCGTAGACATGTAGAGGAAATGCTTCTTACTAGTTGGGAATGTACGTATCAGACATCATTATTATTTCCCGTTATATATACAATAAACATTTGTGCCTATATACTATGACTGTTAAAGAACCTACCGCGAAGATTGAACTACATTTTGTCGATTAGATGAAGTTGCTCTGTCAGGATTGTTATTCGCTTCTGCAGAGTCGTTATTGCCAGAATTGTCATGTTGATCTCCACCTCTATTAGTGCCAGAAAAAAATCCTACTATATAGTTGTAAACATAATTAAAGACTGTGAAGAAAGGCCATAGGAAGCGAGAGGGAAAGGCCACATGTTGCGCTGAAGTGACTGCCGTTGTAACATTAGACTGGAAACATAAAAACATAAAATAGATAATATTAAAAGTATGATATTATACATAAACAAAAGCATTACATTATTTACATTTTTCAAAGGAAGAATTAAAATAACGGCAGTTGGAACCAATTCAAGATCTAGAAGAGTCTTGTCATCCTCCTCGTTAGTCAATTCTCTTCTGGGAAATGACGTTGACATTGTGAATTGTCGGAAGGGCAATTCGATGTTTTCCACAACGTAAGTGCGTAGGGCGCGTAAAGTACTGGCTGGTTCAAACTGTCCTGTATGTGAATTTCCAGATGGCAATCTAAATTGAATTCTGGTCACAGTTGCATTATTGAGGGACGGATTAGATTTGGGTAGCTCTTGATACTGTTGCTGTTGTTGTTGTTGCATTTGTTGCTATCAAAGAAAATGAAATTTTGGAGTTAAAATCAATCAGAAATAAGACCATTTTGTTGTAATTACAATAACACTAACTTGTAGTACAAGCTCTTTTTGCTTTCTTTCTAGTTTATCTTGAGCAATTTGCAATCTGACTTTTTCACGAGCTGCGGCTTCTGCAGCCATTTCTCGTTTTCTCTCTTCCTGTGCATGTTTTATTTCTAACTCATGCTGCATTTGGCGCATTTTTTGCACATCACGTCCCGTTTTGCGTCGTTCAATTTCGCGTTCACGTTCCTTTCTTTCTTCTTCTTCTGCTCGTTGTTTTCGTTGAAGCTCAATTAACTTGCGTGCTCTTTCTACTTTTTCCTGTGAAAGATATGTGTGAAAAATCTAATACTCTTCTAAAAATTATAACATGATTTTAGCAGCTCACTCACCTCAGCTGTTAATTCTTTGGACTGATTTTCTTGTTTAATTTCAGCATGTGTCTTTGATGCTTCCTCATTGTCTTTATCTTGGTTTTCTGAAGTTGAAGCTTTTGTGTCATCTTCCTCATTATTTGGAATATTATTTGGAATTGAAACTAAATCTGTATTTGAATTAGCTTTAGTTTCATTTACACTGCATGCAGTGGTTTCAACTATATTGTTATTACTACTGCTAGCAGCAGCTGTAGCTTTCTGTTCTGCATCAATTAAGTTCACAGAAGATTGTTTACTATTCTTTCCTGCTTTTGTCAGAACATTATCAATTTTTGATGCCAATTCAACTGCAGTAGTGTTACCAGCAATAATTTCTAATGGTGTACCATTTTCTCCAATGAAGAATAAAGATGGTACTGGTACCAATTGATCTAATTACACTGAATTTAAGAAAAATTTAAGAGAATATCAAATACAAAATATATCTAATAATGGTAAAATAAATGATAAATGTTGAAAAGGATACAAATCTGTGCAAAGAACCTATAAGCCTCAGATCCACTCTCTAATCTTATAGCTACAAAACTATCTTCCTCTAAACGAGAAGAGACTTCTGTAGTATCAATTGTATGAGCAAATTGTGCTGATGTGTCATCCTTGCCTGTAATAATATTTTATCAAAATATACCAATACCCACAGCTTGAATGTAAGCAATTCTAACTGATCTGTAGACATCTGTTTTATATACTATTATATATTCATGTTGCATTAAATTACAGAAAAAACAAAAGTTTTTACGTGCAACCAAACATAACCTACGGCAGTACCAACACATACCTTCGATAAATACGACAAAAACTGCTTTTCTTGATTTTGACGTTGCGACAGCTTCGTTAATACTTCCTGTAAACCACTTCATTATGAGCGAGACAGTTTGTAGACTTCGTGTTTCTTTATACTTTCTGGCAATATGATGTCGGAATGAGAGGATACAACTGCAAAATGATGAATATACTGAAAATTTTATGACGTATCGACGAGTTCAAGTTCAAATTACACGATTTTACACACGCAAGCAGTTGCGATGAGTCACTTCTTCGCTTTTATCTGATGATGGTAACAGCAGTTTAAAGGGCCTTCTACAATAAGATATTAGTACTAAATCAGAAGTCAGAAACAAGAAATTGACTAATTACAATCGATTATTCTTCTGTGATTTGTCTGTGATTGGTCAATTTCTTGCTTCTGATTTATTACTAATATCTAATTGTAGACGGCTCTTAAAGCCTGTTCTTTAAAGAGTCGTTTACAATGGAGAGTTTTAGACTGTAACAATAAGAAACTGACAAATCACAATCGATTATTCTTCTGTGATTTGTTTGTGAATGGTCAATTTCTTACGGTTTACTTAATTTGAAAACTTACGCACATACAATAGGATCTGTTCTTTTTAGATGAATTTATTGCACCTTTCATCTCTTTTCTTTTTTTCTCGAAAGGGAGGGAAAAAAAGACAAAAGTTAAACTGTGCAAGAGACGTTCGACTAAAAAGAACAAGCTTAATTAAGTTTTGAACAAGAGGAACGACGGAATTTAACCATTCTTCCTGCGCAGTCCATGTGCAATGATGTTGTCGTAACCAGTAAAAAAAACTATTTGCTGTACATTTATCTTTTTATTAATACATTGTAAGTGATTAAAACAACTGTTCAAGAATGGCACATTGTTTGAAAAAAGGTACGTGTACACAATTTGCATGTAAACTCAGACATAAACAATTTTGATTTGGTGTAATATATATATATATACGAAAATTGTGCACCGCATGAGCAAATACACATCTTCATCACATTCCAATGCTCGCATTCGTGTTTGTTCAAATGTACAAATAAGAGGTAGAGTAATCCCTTCTACTTTTGAGTTGTCAACCTATCCTATCTTTCGTGTGATCTCACTTTTGTGTTCTCGTTCACTCTTGTTGTCTAACCTCCTCGTTCTCCACAATACAGTTAAGAAAGTGCCAAAAAGCGTAGGCAGACTTGAAAGACACTGGAAACTCGGAATAAAATTTCGCGAAAAAATTTAATAGTGCGATTTCTGGAATATATAAACAAGTACGTGACACGGTTACAAGCAACTGCCGGTTTATTTATATTCGTAGCGTCTGTAGATGTTTTCTATGGTGGTAGTATTGCGGCGACCATCTTGTCCGATTCCAGTGTTCCGCCGTAAATCACTTACGGCAAAACGTTGGAACGAGTGTGTAATGGCGAGTGCGTCTGTTTCACATATTTTGATGTTGCGATAAAGTTAGATCCGCGCGTTTGTCTTATCAGTTATTCCGACGAGATTTTTTTAATACCGTTGAGTATTCTCTTCCGTCGATTCCGCGCGCAACTGGTTCGGCCCACGAATCGTGATAATTCTGTTCGCAGCGCAGAGTGTATTGCGCGTCGGTGAATCATTCAAGATATGAGATGGAGGGACTCGAATAACACGCGATAATTGCATTACTCGTGCCGATTAAGTAACGTATTACATTCCAGAGCACGTGCTACTCCGCGTACCGTTCTTGTTTGGCGCCGAATAAACGTAAATTGTTAAGTGATCTTGATATTTTCGCGATAGTTTTTAGCACGCACCTGTACGCGCGCGTGCATCTCCATAATATGAAATCGGAGCGAGCATGAAGGTAACCGTGTGCTTCGACAACGTCAGAGTGGTGGTTCCATGCGGAGATGGATCACTGCTTGTGAAGGATCTCATGCATGAGGCTATTCTGAGATACAAAAAGGCTACTGGCAAGAATGATAGCATCCTGACCATCAGCAGCCTGTCTTCTCTGACTGGAGGTGGCCTATTGGATCCAGATGATAGATTGTGCGACGTAGCTGACGATAGGGAACAAATTGTTGCTCATTTTGTGAGCTCTGATGTAAATCATGGAGATGGTGCAAGCTCAGTTGGTACAAACAGTCCTGATTTCTTCCATACTGATGGAAAGGAGCAAACATATCCAATTGATATCCATTCCTCTGTACCTAGTATTAAAAGAGAAAGCACCAAGCGATTATCGATGCATGCGTTATCAACCAGAGAACCTTGTCTCACCACATATTCTGCTCAGTCTCTACCTCGAGAGTCTCGACGTAGAGAACCTTTGGGTCAAGATTCTAAAGCCTCATATGAATTTGGTACTAACATTGAGCCTGAGGAGCAAGAAGTGAGAGAAATTGTGATAAAGAACGAAGCAGGACCATTGGGACTCCACGTGGTGCCATGTTATGACTTATTAGGCAATGATCAAGGACTTAGAGTTGAGGGTATCGAACCAAACGGTCGTATTGCTAGGGATGGGCAAATCGATTTACATGACAAAATTATAAGGATAAACGGTCATAACTTGTTGCATATACCATTTTCAAAAGTTCAAGAGATTTTTAGAACATGCATGAACGATCCCTGTTTGCAAATATCTATTGTTAAACACAAGAGGAAGGCAAGAAGTGAAAAATCATTGCACAAAAATCATGGAAATATCAGTGGAGGATCGGAGAAAATTGAAACTGATGAGAACATCAAGAGACTTCAATGCAGCAATTACAATCTTCTACAAACTGCAAATACTAGAAAAATTGGACGGATGATAGAAATAGAATTAACAAAAGGAATTGATGGTTTAGGATTCAGTGTTACCACACGTGATAACCCTGCTGGAGGACATTGCCCTATATACATTAAGAATATATTACCAAAAGGTGCTGCGGTAGAAGATGGCAGATTAAAGCCTGGTGATAGATTGTTAGAAGTAAATAACAAGGAGATGACTGGCAAAAGTCAAGCTGAAGTCGTATCACTGCTCAGAAATATTCCACCTGGTGGCAAAGTTAGGATGGTAGTATCACGTCAGGAGGAAATTTCTTCAAACATTCCAGATTCTCAGGGAACTTCAGCATCAATCCCCTTAACTACTGAAGTAATGGATAATAATTCAAAGTATTGGAATCCACTAAATAAATCTCCTGCAAAAAAGAACGATCTGCATGACAAATTACCCGCTCACAATTACGATAAATATAAACCAGTAAAATCTTCTGAAGACATTGTCTTATCTCCACGAAAGAATCGTATGATATTGACTTTAGATATACCAGTACATGATTCTGAGAAAGCTGGCTTAGGTATTAGCGTTAAAGGCAAAACCAACAGTTCTGATGACAATATCAATATGGATTCAGGCATTTTTATAAAAAGTGTTATCCATGGGGGTGCAGCGTCCAGAGATGGCCGCTTGAGAACCAATGATCAATTGCTCAATGTTAATGGCGTGTCTTTATTGGGATTATCTAATTCAGATGCAATGGAGACTTTAAGAAGAGCGATGCTTAACACGAATAGCTCAGTAACTGGTGTGATTACTCTTACAATAGCTAGAAGAATATCGTCATATGACACAAGTGAGAAGAATATTATAGATAATTTGCAGCCTCATCATAAACCGAAATCAATTAGTAGTATATACATATCAGATTCTGCGAAGATGAACAATGGTGTCAAGGAAAAAAATACCTTAAATTCTCAGACGGATGTATTAGATAATGGAGGATTGTTGTCTTGTGTGACAGCTTCACCATGGAATCCTGTAATCGATAGGCTAACGGAGCAATACAGTAAAAGTAGTTTAAGAAATGAAAGTTATTGTCTTGCTACTAATAAGACTTGGATAGAACCTTATGCAAAAAAGGGAATTATAGGACCGCGCGATGATCGAGTGGAATCAGTATTGCTAGAAGAATCCAACAATGATAATTCTCAAGGAAACGACACCAAGCGAAACACCGACGACAAGGACAGCCAATATTCTGGAGATCCTACGTACGACAGTCAATTATCTCTAGAAGAATTAAACTCTTCGTCGAATAAATTTTCTCGCGATGCTCTTGGCAGACAGAGCATGTCTGAGAAACGACACGCAGCGCTGGATGCTAAAACTACGGATACCTACAAACGAAACAAGAAATTGCGCGAAGGTAGGGAAAACAAGAACGTGGAACAGACAAGTCAGAAATTAATCAGCCACACGAGCAATCATTCAAATGACCTGGAAGATTATACCAAGAGGAACAGCAAAGCGAACACGTTCGAGAAGCATGTAAATAAAGGAACCTTAGCTGAAAAAACAAATGTCGACAATAACGTGAAAATCTACGAAAAGTCTGTTGATCCTGCTCAATCGGATTATATGTACACTATACCAGGATGTAACAATAAGTTTCTTTCGCCAAGGAAACATTGGCTTGTAGACGATGTGCACAGCGAAGTTACGAGTAGCAACAATATCAAAGACGAACCAGAAGGTTTTTCAAATAGTCGCGGGGACGTAAAGCAGGCTTCTCTTAATTCAGCATTAGACGATCGATATAAGCGCTCACGGAAGAAAGGCGGTATTAGGTCGATGCTCCGGTTAGGCAAAAACAGGAAATCGCTCAATTTCGGCGATAACATTGAGACGAGGCACGAAACTAGTAATTATTGCAGCGGAACAATCAATTACATCGCATAAAATTACAAAAGCAATTTTTAATATAGATGCAAAAACTTCAGTATAAATAAACAGTATATATATACATGTGTATATATACGTACACATTATCGCGTTTCTCCAAATATAAATATATACATACACACTTGCATTATATATATATATATATTTTACCTATATATATTATCTCGGTTCCAAAGTGCCTTATATCAGTAAAAGAAAGTAATTAACTCTGTACATATAATTTTGTACTCGTCTTTTATCGATATGTGAATCACTGTACTTAATTAAATATAAATATTTGTATTAGTTTATTACATTATTAAAATTAAGCAATAAAAAATAATTCCGAGATAGGAATTATTGTATTAACGATCGCGCGGTTCAGACTTCTAAAACATTACCTCCATCAATTAAGCATGTATCTCCATAGTGATCTTGAATCCACATTAACAAAGTATATCATTAATATAAAAAAGTCACAAAAGAAGATTAAAAAAATCACAAAAATTATAATGGTAAGAATACACTTTTAATTACTTACGAAATTTTTCGCTAAACTCTAAGTTTCTCAAGAAACCTTTTCTTCACCAGTATTTAACAAAGCTGTGTTGTTTGTATGTTGCAGCACTTCAAATTGCGCCAAACACAATATTTTGTCAACAGAAACGTTTTCGAGGAAAAATTAATATACAAAAACCCAGAGCGCCGTTTTATTATCGAGCATTGATAAATAAGTTTATGACACCATTTTACCCGTCTCCAATAAAAGACAAGCCACTAGTAGAATTATGTCAGAAAGTAACAAACATAAAGATGAGAGAGAAAGAAATTAATCCTTACCAAAGAATAATAGCACGTGAGGTTCGGAACTGGTATGACAACTCCAAAATGATTGCCATATGCCATCAAAATTCTATGACGGAAGAAGAACTATTTGAGTTAAAAGTTCCGTTGAAAAGAGCAAATATGTATTATAAAAGATATAGCAAGACTATCATGAGATTAGCGTTGGAAGATTCACCATACGCGGCGACACTGCCGTTATATTCGGCGACTTTCGGAGTGGTGTTTGGTTCGGATACAAATGTCGCTGACTTCGATAAAATCGTCAAAAAGTTTCCACAAGTTATTTTAATAGGTAAGTAATTTTATTTGAAAAAAAGGCACTAAGTTGTAAAAATAGATGTTAACGCAAATGTTGAATGTGTTTGTAAATTTCTTTTTATAGCGGGTATACTGGAGGGACGTGTGTTGAACAAGATTGACTTCTTAAAATATGGCAAAATGGATCTTACAACGTCACGGGCGCATCTTGTTCAAGTGTTACAAATGGCCGGTGGCAATAACTTAAATCAGCAGCTCACGCATCATCAGTCGACGTTAGTTGCGCGATTAAAACAAATTGGTACAAACGAAACAGCTTCTGCCGAGGACGAAGAATCGGTGCCCGTATAATTGCAAAAATACTTAAATTTATTTAAAGCTTTAAGTACGAATTATTTCCTTTTACATCTTATATTTGCGATAAAAATAAGAAATATTCGTACAAAGTAATATGTGTTTCTCTCACTTTATTATCTCACTTCCAATCTCATCAAAAAAAGGCAGTGCCGCAATACAGTTAATTATTGAGCAAACAGCATGCTATTACTCTTATTGCATACTCTTTCATCAGAGTTTGAAGTTATATAAAAGACTCTTGCACGCATATTATGACTTTTTTAATTTATTTTATGTCAATAATATCAGTACGAATAACGATGTAAAAGCAATTCCACGGGACATCGTATTGTGACGTAAACGTCGCGTTCACTTATCGTTGCGGCAATTGTAGTTCTTCAATGGCAGTAATTGCAGCAAGGATGACACTTGACTCCGTTTTCACCACATTTGCAGCCACCGGATGTGTCCCCTTTACCCTATAACAAGCAACCAACACAATCGATAAAAAACGTAGAATGTAATGATTAATAAACTTTTTTTTATGTTTACTAAAACTTAAAACTTTATTATAGAAATCGTAACATGTATGAAAAACAATGAAAACTAAATCAATACTTACACCCGGTCCCCAACGCGGTCCTCTGGTAACCCAACATATCTCGGTTTTGCACATGGAGCAAATTAGCCAATCGCAACCGAACTTTTTCATAAGAACGACAGCACATGTGGGACAAGGAAGTGCCTCGCCTCTGTCTACCATCTCCTTGAGCATTGCTGCTGTCCTCTTAGATTCTTGATCAGTGTTGTTTGAAAGTTCTTCTTGCTGATATTCTTTGCAGTTCTTTCCAGTATGTACGGCCTTTTAAAAGTTAAAATAAACTGATAAAGAGTAAAAATAAAAAATAATAATAAACTGTGGAGAGAAAGAGAGAAGACTTTTTAAATTTATTTCAATATTATATTTTCTAGAAAAAGTTTTGTAACACTTACTCGACAGGTAAGACAATTATTGGCTTGGCACACGGGACACAGGAAATTGTTCACATCATCGTCATAAATACACCAACCAGGACAGTCCGGCGTTTTGCAATGGAACGCCTTGTTTCCAGCGTTGTTTTCCGCTTGCGCGATTGACTTCGCTAGATGTTGCTGATAAACTTCCGGCTCGACAAGCTAGGCATGAAGAATAATAGGATTATCGCAAACTTTGTTAAAACTTGCAGTGCAGTTAATCTTAAAACAGAAGCTCACCGCCTTAATCTCACGTTCCTGAAGGGTCGATTCACACGTATATTTGGCGTCTCTGTATGGACATTTCACTTCCGGTCCTTCGCAGTATGCGATTGTATTGACGATACAAGCTCTATAAAAATGAAATTGTTTATAATTCGCGAAAAATAAAACGGACACGTGTCTGAATTATAACAAAAAATTAATTGGCTTAATATTTTTTTGAGGAGGGGGATTATTGCACAGTAAATTCACGATCTGCGGATATAATCTGTGTTTAAAAATTCACTGACAATATTGAAAATCTACACAGTTCACATTACATATATATAACAGATTTTCAGTATTGGCGGTGAATTCTAAAACGCACTCTCATAGTCATATATATTTCGCAATAACACTAGCATAATTAACGTTCTCATAACACGTATGAATCAGTGTATCATATAGAGCAGATACATGTAATATGACGCATTATGATTCAGTACACAATGTATCTAGACTTTCAATGAGTCAAATGCGTCTCGAGTGACATATTAAATTAGAACACGATAAACGATAATTGATAGAGACAATGATGGGAAAACAACTGGATTTAATAATGAATTAACGAATAATTTAAATAAGACAGGATAAAAATCATATCGAAGAAATGTCTACCTGCAAAACATGTGCAAACAATCTCTCAGAATTACACCTTCACACGGACCGTAGGTAACGAAACAAATTGGACACTCGATTGACTCAGAATTCGGAATAACATCCCAGTCCTCTAGCGATATCAGTTCCTCGTATGACATCTTGACGTTTTTTGATGTATCTTCTGTCTCCGTTTTTCCTCCCTATTGTTGCCAAATGGATGTTTATATATGGATCTTTCCTTTTTGTTAAAATGCACTTGCTGCCAGCACGGAAAAAAAAATGAAGAGCAATAAAACTGTTGAAGCGCCTGAGCAAAAGAAAAAGACGTTACCTGACATTCATTTGTTGCTGATTCTTTCTCTCCTTCGATCATTTCTTGATGTTCTTCAATTGTCTGTAAAGCTTCCGTAGGCGGATCTTGCGGCAACTCCTCAGTAACTTTATCCTCCACGGATTGTACCTTGTTTGCTTGAGCTGCATCGTCAATATGTTCTACAATTGAAATAGATCATCAATTTATAACTAATCCAGTAAACATCAAGTAACATTACAATAACAATTATCATGATTTCCCATTCAACAATGTAAATGTAACATAACACGTGTTTAATATTTATATTATTACAATATGTAACAATTATATTGTTGGGGTAAATAATAACATTGATGTAAAATGATAATGTTTCTCTTACTTGATGTTTATTTTAAAGAAAAAGCGTAAGAAAAATTTTACGCAACATTATAATTAATTCTAAATATGACTTGTATGAAAACTTGTTTAATTTAAACGCGGAAATAACATAAAAAGTAAAAACACACAACAAATAGCATCATAGAAATCAGATTACCAGGCGCCACGAGATAAAGAAACACCGGTGAGCCATCCTCCGCGTGTAGCTCGTCGAGAGTGGCCTCGTCACGATCCGCCAAGTTTTTCCCAATGATCCATCGCTGCACGTTTGTGGGTATTTCGAACTCTGTATGTATCTTTGTCTTCAGCTCGGCTACCGTCATCCTCGTCGGCAGCTGTTATCATAGCCCGGTTCGTGAAGCCGTTTTGTTTGCATATTGAGCTGTCAGTATCGGTTACTTACCTGAAGTGGTATGGGCCCTTGGTGAGCGAGTTTGTCTTCAATATACATATTGACTTTAATCGACTGATCCTTCAAACGCGCCGCTGAACGCTGTCGTATCACGGAACAATGGATCTTGAGCCTTGCCAATTCCTTCGCTAATCCCGCCGCTTGCTGATGATGACCCGACGCGATGGCACCTTCCAGCTTTCTTAGTAATCGATTAATGGCCAAGGTATTCATGTTTCTCGCTGATGAATCGTCTGCAACACCATATATCAAATTTTTTTTGTGAGAGACATAGAGAGGGAAAGAGAGAAAGAGTGAGTTCTAAATAAAAATAGATTAGAATTTATTAATTTGGTTTTTTTCACTTATTTCAAAAATCGTATTTATTATTTTTTGTTCTTGTTTTTATGTAGAACAAATAATTGAAAAAAATAGTTTATTTTTTAAATAAAAATGAAAATATTGTTTTTTTTTTTGAAAATAAAAAAACAACTTTACCTTTCGTAGATTCATCGTCGCTTGGTGTAATGTTTTTTTCGGTCACGGCATCAAGCGATTCTCTAACACGATTAATTTGTGATGTATCTTTAGATCGCGTCGAATTTAGTCGTTGTTTCGGCGAGGTAGGAGGAACGTGGGCATTGACATACAGCGACGATTCCATCACATTGGCATAAGTGTTTTCCTTGGAAATCTCATTGGTGGTTTTTGTAGCTTCTATCTCAGCGAAATCGCGCGGTTGTATCAGCTGGAAAGTATTCTTCACAAGAGCCGAGCCCTTGCCAGAAATTCTATAGAGCACATTCTCGTGTTTCCAACCCGATGTGGACGGTTGCTCGGCGGAAATAGAAGGCTGATTTAATCTACGAATGTTTCCACTGGTTTGCACCGACGAGGACACCTTTTGCTTATCTCTCTCGTAATCGTTTGGTGACGTTCCTTCCGTTCTTGTCGTCGTGACGGAGGCAACGTAGGACGTCTTGTTTGTAGATACGGGCGAGCGTTTGTCGACCTTTTCGAGGCCATCGTCGTCGTTTGACGTAGGCTTCTTCGGTTTTGGCCGCTTTGGTAACGAGTGCTTCATCTCCTTCAGCATCTCCTTCAAATCCGTGGTAATTGGGTCCTCGACAGTATTGAGGGCAGTTGATTTTGTCTTGCCAGACTTCGCCTTCTGATCCGCATCAATCAAACGCGATGTTTCCTTGTCTTGCATCGATCTTTCCGACTGTATCACCGATCTCGTCTTACTTTCCTTCTCGGCTTCCACCAAGATATCAAGCACTTTGGCCACTTTGCTCGATACTGCTTCATCCTTCGGAACTTTGCTCTTGTCGGATTCAACTACTGGTCTTCGCTCAATCAGCTTGAACTCTCTTGAACGCAGCTGTCGGTCGATCTCGTCGAATATGTCCGAGAAATCCTTTTGTGCTCCCTCCAATCGTTCTCGGCCTCTCTCTGCCTTCTCCAATGCCCCTTCCGTGCTTTCAGCTAAGTTGCGAGCACGAGAAAACAAACATTTTCTATTAGTTTCACTGTTCGGTCTCGGCATATTGTTGTTCTTCTTTTCTTTGGTGATTTCTTGTCGCTGTTTAATGTTATCTTCTGATAACGCAATGTTCTTCTCGGTACTTGACGATTCACCCGCTCGATTCGCAGCCAGTTGACTTTGTAACAACGATATTCTAGTAGATGTGTCTTTCATCAGTAAATCATTTTGTTCTTTGCATGATGCAATTTTAATGTCCGTTGGCTTCACGTCTGCATGTGTCGATTCGGGCTTGCTCCTCGATGATCTCTGGTGCGGCAAGAAGTACTTGGAAATATCTTTATCAACGCGAACGCTTTGACCGAGATCCTGCTGGACCGAGAATCTCTGATTTCTCCAATCTCCGCCCTGTTCGAATCTACTACTTCTTGCTGCATCTCGCTCGAACTTGTAACTCGGTTGATCTCTTCTAGCAAAGAAATTGGCGTTGACCGTAACTTTGGTGATGTTGCTGATGGCATTAAATTTTGAGATCAACGCGCGCGTGCTTCGTCGGGGCGACGAATTCTCCATCGCCGAGGTAATCATGTCCTGAACAATTTCCTCGTTAACGTCGTCCCTGTTTTCAAAAGCGTCGGTAAACTTTGACGTCTTCAACAACGCCCGCGTTCGCGCCTGTTCTTCCTGCACGATTGCTGCCGCTTCTTTGTCTAGTTCGCTGATGTTCGTTAGAATAGACAGGCCGGACTTCCGTTTAGCCTCCTGCCGTTTTCTGTCATCGTTATGCCGATGGAAAAAACTTAATCTCGACAGAGAAGCATCAACAGAATAATTCGAAGGATTTGACATACTCGTCCCGACACTTTCCTCTTTTACCTCGATGGACATCGCAGGGCTGCGAAAAACAGAGCTTCTCTTAGACGTTCCGGAATCGCGAGAGTGCTCGAAGACACTACGTTTGTACCAAGGTCGCGACATGTTCGCGTTCAAAGTGCCAATGGGACTTTGCGCTCTTTCTTGCTGAACTGTCATATTGGATGACGCGACGTCGTCATTATTCTTGGTGGTCTTGGGACTGCCGCAAACTTCTTTCTTCGATAACAGCATGCCGTCCTGGAGAATCAGTGTGTCGTTACTGATCGATTGTCTTTCTTCATTCTTTCTCTCTTCTATCTCCATGTTGCCGCCATTGATGACGAGTTTTGATTGAGCTCGTTCCTCGGTAGAACAATTTGACGGAACAGTCACGTTTTCCGGAGGTGGTGGCGCCCGTCGTTTTCGTCTGCCGCTGTTCTTCGCGGGCGTTTTGCGTACATCGACCTCCACGACTTTGACCGGAGGATTGGGCGCTCTTCGTTTTCCCTTCACGTAAACACGCCGACGCACGGATCCATTGTAACTAGCTCTCGTGCGTTCATCTGGTCTCCTCGAGTCCGGTGAGTTTCCCTCGTGTGTTGAAAAATTCTCGCACGAGCCGAAAGTCGTTGACGGATGCAGCGAGTATCTGGTAGTGATGTCCTGTCTTCTGGAGTGAGCGCTCGTCGGTAATGTGACGAACACCGAAGCGTTGTTCTCCTTGTTAACGTTAGACACCTTTGACGCTCCGGCGGCGAACGGTCCGACCTCGGCGGCCTGCTTGAGGATGTCCAGGGACAGCACGTTGCAACGGTTCAGAGTTCCCGTATGGAACGCAAAACTGCGGACTGTGGTGGTGCTGTAGAAGGTGTCTACGCTCTCCACGCTGGAGTAGACGCTACTGTGTCGTCGGACGATGTCATCATCGTCCAACTTAGCGCTCGTTCTCCTTCGTTTCTCCACGGTTGAATTGCGATTGCGCTTGAACCACTTGAACAGGGAAAACCTGCCGTTGCCACGTGTCAGAGAGGTCGTTTCACTGGTGACGGCACCTCGCGCTACCACCGCATCCGTCGAGACAACACCGGATGTGTTTCCTCCTTCTTGGTCGCCGTTCGGTACGCCATTGAGGGATGCGCTCGTCTCGCCGCTGTACGCGTCTTGCTGTACCATTCTTACTCACTCTCGCATATCTCGTTCGGGGCGACGCACTCCGCGCCCCGCCTCAGCCGTCGCGTTGCATAGTTCTTTATTTAGATTCTCACTCGAAACGCGGTTTTAAGTTCCTTCCAGTTCGTCCACACTCAAACGCCAAAAATTGCGATGGAAGTTGCAGAAAATATCATCGCAACGACGATCGTGTCAACCGATCAAACTCTCTTCTCACATCACAATCTTCCTATCCTCCCTAGTCTCTCTAACTCCGTTCGCGTACTTAACTGACAGTTTCTAATTCATCGACGTCGAGAGCCGTCCACCGCAGAATTCACCAGACGATAAAGGTGTCAGGTGCATCGCGCGTCGACGTCTTCGGGCGACGACACATGTGCACGAGTGCGAACTATATCGGCGGATTTTGCAGGCGAACCGCGCGTAGTCGGTGCCGAACCGGCGACAAAGATACTCATGTCGGTAAAAACTATTAATAGTCCACCGGATAGTCCTCTTCGTGGCGGGGTTATTTTCAAGTCCACTTTGCACACCGCGCGCGCCGCCGGCTGAAATCAAAACAGAGAAATACGGGACAGAGCGCGCGCGCTCTCTTTCAATGCACGATTTCGTGAAAAAATACTGTTGCGGCTGCCTCGGGCAGAAATCGATGTAGAAATGTTCTCAGCTGCAAGTGATACGCGATTCCGCGTGTATAGTTCGCGTTTCTGTTTTTGAAACAACTCTACGTTTAAAATATTGGAACTAATAACGAAAACATATAAATGGGAATAATGAATATTTTACAAAATGTTGATGTATCAGATATGGTTTTGTCTTGAGAGAGACGAAGGAGAGAATAAAAATCGTATAAATTAAAAGCTTGGTAAAAACTTTTATATTTGATTTGTTAATTTTTTCTTATTTACATAACGTATATCTATTTAACAGAAAGTAATGGAGAGATCTAGTGGTTTTTTTACAATAATAAAAAATAAAAAAAATAAGTTTGAATCGTAAACTCCCATAACTCCCGTTAGGAACTGTTGTATTTTTGGTCACCAATTTTCACAGCGGAGTATATTAATAGTTGGTCGAAATCTTCGAGGCGCTGAACAAATGTTCGCTCTCCAAATCCCGTTATATCTGAACGTGGTATGCTCGATTGTATTTATTTCCGCAATAACTTTCGACATTATCTGCGCTCAGTAGCGTAAAACGTTGTTACGCCAGACGCTGAATCTTAAGTTTACAGGACTTAGAACGTCTGATTTACAACGTTGCGTTCATTTGCATCGCGCGGCGCGCGATCCGCGCGAAGGTATTATTTTTGGAATTGACTAATCCCGTGAGAGGGCACGGACTGGTAAAATGATGATCGCCGCCTCTCTGTGCTTTGTCGAATGAATCAGAGAGAGAGAGAGTGTGTGTGTGTGTGTGAGTTTTGACAAAATTCCCGAAACGGCGACACTCGATACAATGTCCCCGGAAAGCTTTCTCTGTGACCTTGAAAATCCCACACAAGCACGATGCTTTTTTTAAATCGATCGGTTGCTGCCTCATGTAGAATTTCCACCGAAAATAAATTCACGCTTTGCGCATCAGCGCGCGCGCACATTTCGAATCGCATTTTCCAAAAATACGCAGAACTCTTCTCGTGAAAGCGGCGCGTACCGCTATCAGTGTCACAAAGGAATCGAAAATCGATGATCCAAATTTTTCCACTGATTAGTCGTTAAATTGAATATAAAAGTTCAATAAATCGATACTTTTAGAAACTTTGTAAAATATTCGACGCGAATAGTCGCGCCACGTATTTCAGTGTGTTTAAAATATCCATAAAAGAGTTAATCTCAATAAAAATCTGTTAAAACATCCGTAAAAGAGTAAATCTCAATAAAATATACTATTGGTAATACACAAAGTTTTCATTTTCACATCTGCATCTCATCACGAAAATTTCTGGTTGCGAATGTTTTAACTTATTTTTAACTGAATTATCTGTTTCAGAATTAACCAAACGTGTATTTTTAATTACGTTCACAACACAAAGAAAGTGTTACCTTGCGACCGTTTTTGTCGTTAAATACTTTTATTTAAAGCGATTTTGTCACAAAACCAACTCTACAAGCATAGGCGCGAAATAGTGTACAACAAATTTATACGTACAGAAGCTTTAACTAAGGCAATTCTACAATAACTTGGAGCACGCGTAAGCAATTATTACCTATAATGGCAAAAGGAAGAAGCGTGTTATTCGAGTGCAATTTGCACGTAAACAACCGCAACGGTCGTAACGCGAAAATTAACTAAACTCTGCTGTTGAACGAAAGATTCGCTTGGATTATGCAGATTCATCTGCATTTAGCAAATGGCACAAGAGGATAATATCTAGCGGTTTGTTCTGCTCGGTAGGACATATAGTGCTATAGAAATGATCCTTCCCCAATCTCTCCTGATTATATGACGAGACACGGCAGAGCGAGCGCCGTCGTCGTATAAGAGATCGTTCGGTGGTTACCGGGATGCGTGGTCTTAGCTCACTTTTATTGTCGGAAGTCGAACTGGAGCGCGAGGATGCGCGTTTTCCTGTCTCTCTTTTTCTCTCTTTCTCTTTCTCTCTCTCTTTCTCTCTCTCTCTCTATCTCTCTCTCTGTCTTTCTTTCTCTTTTCCTCGTTGCATCGTCCGCTAGACAAGGGGGTTTATTTCGCGAATCCATTCGGTGTCCCTACCCCCGCGCATGCACCCACGACTCTTGGCTCTGTATCCTGCGTCCTGAATACAAATCGCGTTTCCTTTCGCGAGCTCTCTCCCGTAGACTGCCAGAACGCGCGATCATTACCATTAATGAAGAAACTAGTAGCGCAGCATCGTGGATGCCACCTCTTTCCTCTTCACCCCGCGTCTGCATCCTCCTAGACGTATAACTCACGATGACCGAGACGGAAGTTCCGAGGCCGATAGTAATGCGGAATTATTCCCGCCGGATATACAAGCGCGTCCGCGCGTCCATATTCAACGATTTACAATTTTTATACTCCGCGCGTCCTCAGGGAATGTCGTCGCGAATGCCGTTGAACTCCGGCGAGAAAGGTCAACGGTGCCGTGCAGTTTCGGGTAGAGGATGTTTTATTTAGACGCTCCCGTTCCCCTTTTTCTCGTCGTGGCATTCGACTTCGCAGAATCGGATGTAAATTAGTTATCGAATAACGTCGGATTCTTATGCAAAGAGCGCAAACGAAAAGTCTTTCTGATTGGTGAGAGAAGGTTCAAATGAGGACGCGAATTGGGTCTTGAACGAGCAAAGGACGAACTGAATTATGAATCGTGAAGATTTTTTAAGTTATGAACGGGTCATGTAAATACGTGAGAATGTATAATAAAACAGGTGCGCGGGAGCGCGCCACGAGCACGACGGTTGTATTATTTCATAGAAATGTTTGCGTCGCTCAATCAAACCGCTAGATTAAAACGTCGTGCTTTAAGTCAAGTCGATGCACCGTCGTCTTTAATTACAACGGAATTAAAATTAAAATGCAGGTTTAAAACAGGTGCAAAATTGTGTCCTTTTATATCGTTCATTATTATTTTTACCTTTTTTCTTGCGCGTTTTGTTTCTACTGATGATTTCTCTTATTAATTTCTACACAACTTCTCGAAAAGTTATTTTACAACAGACCATTTTCTCGATGAAGAATTGAATACTATAGCTCTGGCAATAACTCAACTAAGACGTGAGTTTTATTTGCAGACGTTAGATAAATAGAAGACGGCAAAGATGAAAAGTTCAATTTAACTGTTCCGCTTCGGAAGGTTGAGCAAATATAAATAAGAAACGTTTTATATCAATAGATCGATATCCAAGACTTTTCGTTGTATTATATGTTAAAGAGGAACACTGTGGGATCATAGCGGAGCGTTAGTGAATATTGCTGCGTTACTTGCGAAATGCACAGCGTTGCTGTTTTTCGCGTTTTTTGCACCAAGAGAAATGCAAACGAACCTTGTCGACGATAATCGTGGATTCTCGGTAGTCCTGATAAGGAATCGCGATGTCTTCAATATGCAAATTTTACGATGTTCCACGCCTATCGCTTGTGTTCAGACATCGAAAGAAGAGAAAGGTACAGCAATTTGATTCAGCATCTCTCTAAGAGATAGGTAAAAATACATTGTGTCTACAAGCTGTTTTTTGTTCAATAAATTTTAATACTTCTTACCAATGTAGTGTGATAACATCACTTTTTAGACGATTTCAAATTATTTTGTTTCTACCTGAACATGACTTATACAGACATATATATTGCATTTTAATTATTAAAAATAATCTATATTTTTTGTTTATAAAATGCAATATATATGTCTGTATAAGTCATGTTCAGGTAGAAATAAAATAATTTGAAATCGTATAAAAAGTTTTGCGAGAGAAAAGCTGAAACATTCACGTGAATATATATTCAGTGAGACATTTTAATTCTATAAATTTACACAGCAGCACGCGCAAATTTGTTTTACATTAAACACATTTTGAATTAACTTTCGTATTTAATTTTCCCCAATGTTAATATTAATATTACACGGATATTATATGTCGGATCACACAAATATCTTCACTGCGCGATCTAAGAAAACAGATATCCCAAGCTATACAGTGTGGAAAGTATTTCTCACAAGCAGACTTCAGTGTATGTTGGACGAGTCAGCCAGCTACTTCACTTACAACGTCGTACGTGCGCGAGATAGTTAGATTGTCTTCCTTCCAAGTTATCCTACATGATGTTAAACTTCTCTCAAGCTTCCATTGACCATACGTACTCTGGCGTACTTGCACAATATCCGCGCCACTCGCTGATGAATATGAGACCGTGGACGGAGATTACATTACGCGAATTCGTGAACCCCGTCAGGAGGAACATAAATATTCTCAATAAATTCACTCCAAATATGGAAAACGTATAAAACATATCGCTTCTTGAGCTTCTTAATTCAAGCAAATTAAATCTTGTGAAGAGTATATGAAAATTGTTAGAAGAAGAATTGAAGTTACATTTGTCACATTAGAATATCAAATATCTATGATCTTACAACAGCTATTTGACATTAAAGTCGAATAGGCAGGTAGATAATCAGCATGATTGGAGAAATCGATATAAAACATATTACATTAATGTGACTATTAGCAGTTGTCTGTCTTTTGAACACATTCCGAAGTACAAAATAAATTATAAAGCATATATTTGTCTTTTTTCTTTTCTCGCGTAAACTCAATTTTTTACGTGTTGTCATCGTGAGTTTCCCGGCGTTAAGCGTGCTTGTTTAATAATCGTATAACGTGAGACTTAGCAATATCCGCGACGTCAATTGGCTAGTGTGGACTCTCCTTTCCCTTATTGACGTAATCTGAAATATCGCATTCGATCTGAAGTTCCATTAAAGTGAA